AAAAAAAAAAAAAAAAAAAAAAAAGAAAAAAAAAAAGTAACGAAATCGAATACTTGACAGTAGCTAAAAAATTAAGTGAACTTAATTAGCATATAATAGTAGTCTGTAATATAAGAAACAAAACTGTAGATTTGTCTATATTTTTAACTTCGCACAAGTTTTGAGATACGTAATTCGAGATGATATTACTGAGTAAAAAAAACTTTCAAACTCTCCAGAACAACGAAATTTCAGTTTGGTGCTGAGATTAAAAAAGTAAACCGAACCACGGTTTAAACATACAGTCAAATTCTGCAGTTAACGTGTGTTTGCTGCTGTTGTTTTTACCGTTTTTTTCTTGTAATAAATGAAAAATCTTTTCAGCAATTCAAACATTTGACAACGCTTTGTCTTTTTTTTTAATTTAAAAAATAATTCTTCTAAAAAATTTACTTATATTGATTACAGATGTGTTTCGTGATTGTGGAACGGGAAGTTGTGGAACGCTAAAATGGAGCCAATTAGACTTTTGAACATGCAGTCAAAAAAAAATTTATGAATGCGGCTGGACATTATTTGGATTATATTTTTCACTCAGATTTTTACAGTTTTTTGTGGTAATTTTTTTGCAACGTTTTTTCAATCGTGCTTTAGCTTTGCGTGTTTTAATTTTGAAGCATTCACTCTTGTTTCGAAGACCGTTTTATAGCTGACGACAGATCAGTACAGGAGAAGAATTTTCCTAAAACAATTTTTTAACTTGACTTATTTTGGACAAATTAGTGTCAGCTAGATTAGAAAAGACAAATAATTTTATATAAATTTTGCAGAAGAAACAGACTTTTGTGATGGCGAATGGGAATACTTTGGTGATTCTTGTTACCTTGCAGTAAGATTGTTTGTCTATTGTATCAAGTTTTATAAGATTTTTAGTCACTTGTTTATCTAAGATAGCTTTTTTTTTTTGGAACGTAACTTATTGTTTTAAGCTATTTGTGTTCAAAGCAGTTGTTAACTTTAAACACAGCTTTAGCATGAAATAAACAACAAATTTTTACTTTTTTAAAATTATAAATTATTTGGTGACACTAAGAATATCGTTATTTGCATTTAATTTTTCGCAGTTTTACTCATATATGTTAATAATATACAACCTCTTTAAGTAGTGTAGGAAAACTTAGAACCTCTAATATATATATATATATATATATATATATATATAT